ATCTGTATCTGTATCTGTATCTGTATCTGTATCTGTATCTGTATCTGTATCTCTTACCCCAGCCCTAATTGTATCTTCGTCTATTCATTCTTTTGTTTACTTTGGCTTTTGTATTCAATTTGGTTTCTAATTTCAATTAGGTGTCGAGCTGAGGCGTGCAATGCGGACTGCCAATTTGTGTTGCAAATCTGTGATTCTATAAGCTGCTAACTTCCGAAAATGATTCAATCTGCAATGACACTTGCAGCCAGTTGCGAATTTGTTGCTGTTGCTGCTGCTGTTTTTGCTGCTGTCGTGTTGTCGTGGCAACGTGGCGCTGTCTATTGACACATTGCGCTTGGGGCACGCTGTGCCGCGGGGCGAATCGTCGTGACCCGCTTAGCTGGCAGCAGCAGCAGCAGCAGCAGCAGCTAGCGCCCTATGCAAATTCGACAGCTGCTGTTGCTGTTGCTGCTGCCGTGTTTGTTGTTGTTGTTGCTTTAATTGAAAGCGATGCCAAAAGTGGCAACTTGCACCGCAGTTGAGCAGCGGAATTAACATGCAACAAACACTCGACTCGCTGACTCGCTCGTTGCCTGGCTGCCTGGCTGCGTGTCCTGTGTCAATGTTGGGTCATTGTTATTTGTTTAAGCAAAAAGTTTTGATGCGCTAATTGGCAAAAAGTCTGCGGCTGTCGGCTGTCAACTTACCAGAAATATGGCCACCCAGGCCATGCCGATGTTGTCGAAGGATATGGTGCCCTGAAAGGGGTTCTCGCCGCTCTGCTTGCAGGTCGTATAATACTGATTCCAATTCACGCACGACGTATTCGTTGGCTCATTCAGGTCCAGTAGCTTGGCCTCCTCTGCGAAAAGTTTACAATTAGTTTCAGTGAGCGAGATGGCCTGATGGCGTGAGAGGTAGACGGGTAGAGGGGGAGGGCAGCGGATGGGGGGGCTGCCAGAAAGTTGAGCAGCACGAAAGCAATTAAAAAGTGCCATCAAAATTTGATTAACACGCACAGTTTGCACCTCATTAAGATGAAAGTTTTGCCCGCTCGATGGCAGGGGGAGGGTGCGTGTGGGCAGGGAATGGATTAGCTGGAAGTACTTACCAGTGCAGACCAATGATCCGATGCGATACGGCGGAAAGTTGCCGCACAGATGCATGCCCGAATCCTCGGGCGTGGAGCAAATATAGTCCTGATCCTTGGAGAACTCGTAATATTGCGAGAGGCTGCGACAGTTGGAGGAGGGGTAAAGAGAATGTCGCGTGTTGCGTTCGGTTAGATAAACAAACAATTTGCGATTATCCAGGCAGACAGAAGAGATAAACACATTATGTACCATATCAATAAATAGAGAAAGAAACACACAGAGAAAGAGAGAAGAGAAAGAGAGAGAAAAAGTAGAAAGAGAGAGAGAGAGCACAAAAGAAAGTCGTTTTTTAACAATCATAATTCACATCATTTAATTGATACGTAGAGTAAATGTCAATATGCGTTACGTTATTTTTATTGTTTTCTGATAACATTTACACATACATCGACAATTTGAGAGAATACGTTGAAAAGTTCTATGAGAGAGAGAGAGAGAGAGAGATAGATACAGACATATATTTTTTTTCTTTTTGCTTTTGAGTTTCTTTGAATCGATTTTGTTTCGCATGATCAGTTAGGTGCGTGAAAATTTGGTAGAGCTTTTTGTCAGCTTGCGACTGCGACCGAGTCGGTCGTCCAGTCAGCACATACCACTAATTAGAGTGAGACAGAGAATGAGTGTGAGATAGCGCGAGCAGAGCCAATCGATAACAAGCTAAGGTGACAGAGTGAGATTCACGTTGATCCAATGTAAAGTCCAATACAGCAGTGAGAGTGAGACAATGAGCGAAAGAGTGTGAGTTAAAGCGAGATAGATAGAGTGAGCGAGTTGGTGAAGAGCGAGTGAGCGAAGCTCTAAGCGTGACAAGCTTTGCTTCGTGAAAGCTTTTGAGCGAGAGAGAGTGAGCTTGAGTAGAGGGCAAGCCAGCCAAGCTAAGAACTTGGGAGCGCTAAAGCTTTAAGCTCTAAGAAAGAGGAAGAGAAATAGTGATAGTGGCAAATGCTCAGAGCTGTTAAGCTTAAGAGCGTGAGTTTAATAAGGGGCGAAGCTTTAGGCTCGCAGTATATAAATAAAAAAGCTTTGAGACGTTCAGCTTGCATGTGTGTGTGAGAGAGAGAGAGAGAGAGAGAGTGAAAGAAGAGCAGTTAAAGTTGTAAGCTTTGGCAAGATCAAAGCACGCACAATGTAAATACAGCTCAAGCACATCAGGCTACAAGCACAAGTAGAGTGAAAGAGAGAGAGAGAGAGAGAGAGAGAGAGTAGGCAGTAGAGAACGTGTCTGAGAGACCATAAAATTGCGACTAAGCCGCAGACCACAAAAAGTGCGCACTCAAAAGAAGCAGCCACAAAATTAAAACGTAAAGCTGAACAAAAATTAAAGAAAAATAAAAGAAAAGCGAACGACTGCAAAGAAGATAAAAACAAAGGAAGCAACAGCGAAAGTAAAGGCAAAGCAATTTAAATTAAACGCACCGCCGGCTGCTGGGGCAAGAGAGGGGGCAGGGCGCAGAGACTGCACCACCGCAGAGGTGGGCGTGACGCGGCACACACACAAAAATGTCAACGTAATTGTACATGTGTGTGCGTGTGTGTGTGTGCCTGTGTATGTATGCATGTGTGTGTGTGAAAATGTGTGAAACAACGCGAAAAAAAAATGAAAATAAAAATGTGAAAATTCTCGCGCGCAAAAGTATGCTAAACTTTTTTGATAGAGCGAGAGAGTGAGACAGGTGTGTGTGTGTGTGTGTGTGTGTGTGTATAGCTTGTAATGCGACTTTAATTTTGATTATTGTTGTAGCTGCCATTTGCGGCAAGCTGTGTGAGTGTTTGAGCTCTGTTGGGGAAGGTGGGGGGCGGCGGCGGTGAGGTGGCGAGCGGAGTCACCACAATGCTCAATGTGGGTTTGTTATGGTTAAGCTAGTGTTTGGGGCCGGGCAGCTTTAAATACCTTTGCAATAGAAACTGATGGTTTTTCCTGTAAAAAGAGTTGAGCTTACAAAACATAGATAGATAGCATCAGTTTTAGGGTGCAGCTGTGTGTGTATCTGTGTGTGTGTTTGAGTGAAAATAATTGCATATGGCTAAAATGTAACGAAAATTGAACGAAAATTTTGCAGCTGTAATCGCAACAGAAACAGAAACAGAAATAGAATCAGAAACTATCGCAAAGACTACGCTCTAAAGCAGACTAACTAACTAAACTGTGTGTCGCTGTGTATGTGCGTGTGTGTGTGTGTGCGTGTGGAGTCTCAAATTGTTACCCACTTTTCGTAGTCGAGGGAAATCACTTTTCATATTCGGATTCGGTTTCAAAGGCAATTCGAAACGCAAAACATAACTGAAAACTCAACATAAATCATAGAGTAATAGACAAAAGAAATACACTTGCACACACACACACACACACACACTGATACTCCCATACACACGCACACACTGTTAACATCAAGTCTAGCAACACAAAGAAACGAAATAAAACAGTTTTGCTTAAGTTCGAATGAGAAACTGTTGCTAAAACATTAACAAGTACGAGTACGAATACGAATACAACGAATACAAGGACATGAATACATATACACACTCACATATACAACAAAATAAAGGTGGGAACACACACAGGGAGAGAGAGAGTTATATTCACTACGACATTGATACAGAGTTCACACACGTAGAGTTGGCTACAAAAACACATTACGAGTGACTAAAGTGGTATCTGCTGCAAGGTGTGCATGTGTGTGCGTGTGTGTGTGTGTGTGTGTGTAGGTGTGTGTCTGTGTGTGTCAGTGCGACAGTGTGAGTGTGCATACTTTCAGTAGGGACTGTTGACCGATGACCGCAAGAAGCTTCTTGGCCGGTTTAAGCTTACGAATTCTTTCTCAGAGAGCAGCAAAAGCGTTTACAGAATAGATAAGTTTACAGAGAAGCTGAGAGCAGTGAACAGTGCCCAGCTCGAAAGTAAAAAATCAGCTTGAGGCGAAGAGAAAAGCTCAGTGAAAAGCTTGACCGAAATAGGCGATCAACGCAAAGACAAGCGAGAAGCCTACACAGAATAGATAAGCTTGCAGAATGGCTTAAAGAGCAGTGTGAAGCATCAAGAGAAGCAGCGAAAAGCTTCGATAAGTGATAAGTTTATAGTTAAGTTAAGTTAAGCTTAAGCTTGATTGACAAAGGGAGAAGCTTTAAGCATATAATATCATCTTTCTTAGCTTGCATTACAAGCTTCGTCGTTTTTTGCTAAGCTTATCTAATCACAGTGTTTCGAGTGTTTTTAGCTGATGTTATCGCTTCCCGGCTTTCAAAGTATCTTGCGGACACACAGCTTCGGTACAGTGTTGCATAACGTGTGCAGCCAATAGTTGAGTAGTGTTGTGTTTGACAATTGGTTAATTGAGCAGATGTTTTCGTTAAGTTCTAGTTTATATAGTCTATATATGGTTGAAGTATTATAAGTTTAAAAGTATTTAAGTAAGTATTTTAGTATGTATATATCGGCAAATATTACTAAGAAAGTGTACGACAGAGACAGACAGAGAGAGAGAGAGAGAGAGAGAGAGATAGAGATTGAGTAGCAGAGCGTATATAAAACATATATATTGAATCTAGCATTTGAGGGGGTAAAACTAAAGGAAAGACTAATAAAGATAGAGAGTGACAGAGAGAGAGAGAGAGAGAGAGAGAGAGAGAGGGAGTGTTAGCTGTAGAGCGTGTAACACGAATAAGGATTAGTGCTTGCGATATATGAACTATCGCTGGGGGAGATCAGGCAGCGCGCGAGCGCTAGCTAGCTTCAGGTTAAGTATAGAGAGAAAGAGAGAGAGAGAGTATATATTGCTGGTTAAGGAAAGAGAGAGAGTACACTAGAGAAACACAGAGCGAGAGCTATATTAGACGACTAGGGTACTTATATACTGTGTGTGTGTGTGTGTGTTTATGTAAGTGTGTGTGTGTTGTTAATCAAATTTACTCTGTTAGTATTTGTGTGGTATATATTTGGTAATTAATTGTTTAGAATTTGGTATTTTATTGTAGTTTTCTTGGTGTTATTTAATCTGTGTTGTTTTTGTTGCTGTTGTTGTTGTTGCTGTTGTTGTGTATTACGGGCATTTTAAGAAAGGGGGGAAAATAAATCATTTTATCTTACGAGTTAACACGGACTCGAACTCTGTACACTTCAGGTAGTCCCCTGTAAACAAAAAGTTTGTTCCCGGTATGATTTTTGTTTTAGTATCTTTTTTTGGTATTAATAATGATTTTTTTTTTTTTTTTTTGTTATTTTTATTTGATTGACTAATTGAAGAAGAAGAAAAACTTATTTGAAACTAAATGCGATAAACAATAATTGAGAAGAATTGGAAAAAGGTTTTGAAACCAAATTTGGATTTGAAAAAAAGAAGTTTTTTGGTATTTATTTTTTGAAAATATATTTCCAGTTACTCAGTGCCAATTAAATTAATTTGTTTTTATCGTTTTTCGACTTGTTTCAAATAAAATAGGAAAATAAAATATAATGAAAAATACGAAAAGAAAAGAAATGAAAAGAAAGAAAGTCAAGAAAAGAAAAGATTTGAAAAGAATTTTGAAATATACTTATATATAGATATACATATGTCAGTGTACATGTGGTATTTTTGTTGGTATATTTCTGATGTTTGTTGTTGTTGTTGTTGTTGTTGTAGTTGTTGTTGCTGTTGTTATTTGGTCTGTTGTCTGCTCATCATCAAAAAATGTAGAATAAGAAGAAGAGATGTGTGAATGCAGCAAACGCGCCTGCCCATTGTGAATGGCTTTTGTAGTAGTAGCTTTTGCACGTGACTGTACACATGTGTGTGCGTGTGTGTGTGTGTACGTGTGTGTGTGTGAGTAGAATGTATAATACAAGTGGTGTGTGTAAATCAAATCAAACATATCTCAAGAACAGCGATACCCAACCTAAACTCTCAAAATACTTTTTGGTATTAATCTGAACTGCAACTGGGAGAAGTTTCTCACATATATTTATACAACTAGTCGTACTACCTATATTACAAGTAAGGCTTGACCAAAATTACGAACAAAAATACTCTAAATATAACAAAACTTATATAGATATGTATATACACAAATCAAGAGGGAAAAGCTCAACATTTTAATAAGCAGAACTGAAAACGATTCAATTTGCAACAAATTTGTATAAAAAAACTACCTAGCTCTGGGGTTTATAGAGCGCAGCAGCTTGTTGTCTTGGACAATAGAGTCTGAAATAGTTCTGCACTCTGTGTTATGTCAGATGTATATACTATAAGCGGATTCTTTGACTCAATTTAAGGGAAAGTTTAAAGGAAAAAAAAAATCGGTCCAAATACAACTTGAGTGCTATCAAAAATCAACAAAAACATTTTAAGCTCTTCAGTCGGGCATAACCGACCTCTGAATACTCGCTCATGCTGCTCAGCATAGCTGCATATATATCAGCAATTGCTTAAGAGTCAACTTTAATTTGAATTGCGAGTCAATTAAAAATGATCCAACACTTGCCAAAGAACTCAAAGTACTTGCAAAATTGAACGAAACTCCAGCTTAATTATTAATGAGGAATGTGAAAGTCCATTGTCATGGCCTCGATGCGCTGACATTTCGTCGCTTAGCTGTTAGCTTTCAGCATGATTAGACACTTTTGGGTACTCAGTGAGCAGGCTGAAGGAATTGGAGGAAGATACTGAAGAACATTGACTCAAAGGCCAAATGGAGTAGTCTAACTCATTTAGACTTGAATGTCAACTATTCTCTATAGATAATGTTGTAGATGAGACTAAACACTATAAATAATATTTGTTCATCCTCTTCCTCTGCGATAATTGCAAGTTTCATTACAAATAGACCCTATATACTTCCTTTGGCTGTGCTGAACGAGCATAAAAAGCATAAATGGAGCATATATCAATTCGACAAGCCACGGCGAGTGCTGTCCATTTAAATAAATACGAGGGGGGCAAAAAAAGAATGGACCAAATTTGCATGTGAACACAAAAAATATATAAAATATATGCAAAATTATGATGGAAATGCAAACGAGGATTTATATAGATGTATATATGGCCATATATCTGCATATACTATATGGGTGTACATATGGTATGGTATACATATATGTATGCATGGCCATGGGCAATTTGCATTTACAGTAATTATGCGAGGCAGCGAAAAATGGCGTCAAATTAACACCAGCAAGTGTGGCCTATTTTCCGGCCACGCAGGTACAGTCTGTTGCCGCATGCAAAAACAATCGATTAACGATAACAAAAGCAAGAACGGCAAACGAAAGCAAAGAAGTAAAGCAAACGATTCTTTATGCTGCCTACATTTTGGGTGTTCAGCTGCGAGTGTGTGTGTGTGTGTGTGTGCTGACGTCAGTGCACGGAGAAAGAGAGAGAGTGAGTATGTGTGTGTGTGTGTGTGTGAGAGAGGGACAACCATAGACGGAGCATGACCAGTGATAAATGATTGTTTGCCAAGTTTGAAATCTTTGCCAGCTGTCAGAGCCAAGGGGCGCCTGCTAAAGACAGCCCCGCCCCCATTTGTATGCTTGGGCCTAGCCAAAGTGACCATGGAGTTGACATATGCCTGTGGGCAGCTACTCAGGCATTATCATATCAAGGTGACCACAAAAAATGCCAAATGACAATCGACATACTCCATTATCTGAGCTGCTGCTCTAAAGACGACTGAGGGGGAAAAAGGTAGCTTCGGCAATGGATATTATTTGTTCCTCATTGTTACTTTAGTATATACTAGATCCAGAATCCTTGTCATATTGATCTTCCTTCATAGTCAGCTTTTTGTGTTCTCTGAGTAAGATATATCATATTGAAGGTTCCTTTCAAGGGGATAGAATTTTTTTTTCGCTTTATCGATATTTTCGATTTAGCAGGGTACGAATTATCGCCACCCGACGGCATATACATATTTGTATACATATATTCTATGGGGCTTATCTTCAGTTTGTGCCTGAACTTTCACCCTAGTAAAGCGATATTGTCAAAGGCCTATCATAGCGACTGTCCCTCATCTGCACTATTCTAAATTTAGATAAGCTTCATATTCAGCTTTACCATAAACAAATTAATCAGAGTTCTACAAATAGGCGTGGCTATATGACAAACAACTTCCTCCATGATCACTTTTTGAGGACTCAAGATGGATTAGCTTGACCTTTTGGCCCCTTTCAGGCAGACTGAACTGGACGGAGTTTACTCCACCACCTGCCCCACATGATCACTTGATTAGGGTTGGGGCTGACCATCCCGCCACATTTTGCTCTACCCTAATTGAATTCGAGCTCCAAACATAGGTTTAGCACAAAGCACAGCAAGGGGCATAACAGGGGGGGTTGGGTTGACTAGGAGTGGCTGAGCACTCTCCATGTTCGCTGGGAGACATTATGTTTGTCATTTGGCATTTTTCATATTCAGTTATTGGTCTTTAAGGCAAACTATGTTGCCATCCACGCCTCCATTCCCCGTCCTCCACCCTCCATGGTCATCTACTGCCGTTGCAAGTCATTTACAAGCACTCGGGGCCCACTTAAGCTGAGAATAGACTAAAATTTGGCATGCTTATGTCGATGGCTCCAGTTGAAGTGGCTGTGTGCGTGTGAGTGTGTGTGCGTGTGCGTGCGTGTTGAACACTTTTGCTCGTGCGTTTTACAACACTGCTTCAAATGAGCAGCGCTGCCAGACGTCAAATTTGACGAACGCTCTGAGCATTTTGTATGCAAATGGACAATTTACAGCAGGAATCGCTGTGCGTGTGTGTGTGAGTGTTTGTGTGTGTGTGGGCGGGTGTGGGTGTGGCTGTGGCTGTGTGGCTGTAAGCTGTCAGTGGCATTTACCAAAAATCAAAAAAGCAAAAGCCAAAGAAACAAAAAAGTAAAAAAAAAAAACATGAATTAACAGCCAGGCAGCCCAGAAAAAGCGAGAGAGAAAGCAAAATAGAGTCAGCGAGAGAGAGCGAGAGAGAGAGAGGGGAAGAGTGAGTTGGTAAATGAGTGAGAGAGCGATGTTGAGTTAGAAAGAGAGCGAGAGGGAGAGAGAGAGCCTGAAATGAGCTAAGCGGTTATCAAAAATCAAAACCAAAAATGATATCAAAAAGATATATGTATATATAAGATCTATATATATACACAGAATCAAAACAAACTGAAAATGATATATCAAAGCGATATTCGATATATATATATATATATATATATATAT